CGGAACGCGGCGGAACCGCGTTCCGGCACCTTTTTCCGGGCCGGCCGCACCGGAAATAGCCCCTCCCGCACCGGAAATAGCCCCTCCCAAATTTTACTTGCATTCCTGTTCTCTAAAGGGGCGGTCCTAGGGTTTGATGAGGGCGTGGCCAGGTTTGAGTTCCGCCACCTTTTCTCTGAGAAAAAAAGCCCTGGAAACATGTATACATATTCATCCAGAATTATATAAGACAAAAATAGCATATTTGCATCAGATCTGTAACTGTGATTTGACTTAGGTTATATATGGTTTTGATGTTATATATTAGCAATAGAAAATACATCCCTTGATATAAATGTTTGGTCTGAATACTCTCATATTCTCAGTACTGAATGGAAGGAAAATTGAGGTAAGTATGCTCTTCTCTGCTTGTTATCCACTATACCTATGGAAGATTTAGGGCTTTACCTTTCTAGCTTGATCATTATCTTCTATTTGTCCCAAATCTCTGCCGCTTGCCTGTGCAATCCTTTTTCCAGAGACCAGATTCCCCACCATCACAGAGGCAGGACCAATTTCTACAGTACATCAGGAAGATGGTGAAAGAAGAATTAAGAACTTCCTTTCCAGTGCAAAATTCATATTACTGTGCTTCCTCATCTAGAGTGAAACTATCTCAAACGAAATCCTATGCTATACCTGCCCTTGTGGCTGCAAATAATAAGAGCTGCTCCCAGCAAAATGAAATTACTGGATTGTTTTTGCTGTCAAATTCCTGCAGCTCAGATCTTGAAGCTCTGATTTCCTAAAACTGGCTTTAAAAAAAAAAAACTCATGAGAAGAAATGAGACAGCACATTACAGGGATGCATGTACCAGATTACATTTGGTAATCTCATCTACATTTGAGGAGTAAGAGAGATTAGCTGAACCCAGACAATTTGAGATAACCAATAAAATAGGCTTTTGCAGATTTCCTCAGTAGAACGGAGTCAAAAGAATTCTCATCCCCATCCTAAGCCTTTCTGCAACGCAAACAAAAACTATAGCAGATTCATAGGAAAGGACCAACAGTCAGAATTGCTAAGAGTATTTTTCTTTGCAATAGAGCACATAATCTTGTCTACGACAGTGGTGCAAGTTATAGGAATCATACTGAAATATCTCTAGTTGCTTTCCAGGTACAATTTAGAATACTGATGTTATTACAGTTTAGGTCTTAACTATCTGAGGAATTGCTTCTCTATTTACCAATATGTGTGGATTTTAAAATCTGCAGGAGAGGCTCTTCTGAAGTTCTCCCTACTCTGGGCTTCCTTCTGCATCACACCCAAACCACAGAATCCTGGTTTTTCAGATTGCAATAATACCCTGCCTTTAAGAATGTCTTACTTTTGTCATACATTTCTTGGTAAAATTATTTGATTCTGTTTTAATTTCTTTCTATTTGTTGTAAGCTGCCTGAGGGTCCTTTGTCAAACAGAAGGATGGTATATAATTAAACGAATAAAACAAATACATTCCAATCACTGAGTCAAAAACTAACCAACATACAGAACATCCAATCAAACAGGTCTTGAATTAGGAGAAAAACTAGCTACTCTTATTTTTATGAAATTTATATATGGGACGTCTCACTATCAAGTGACTTATCAGGGTATTTCAACCCAAGACGCAAACATTAGACGTACCTGGTTGTTTCTGTCTTGGTTTAGGCAGGTTTGTTACACAGGTGTGTGGACACATCAGTACATTACAGGGATGCAATGCTCCTTCAAGGAAGAGCTGTTTTGTTTCTGACAAGTGGATTCCACCCAGAGGAGTCTTTGGGAGTGTGTTTGCTGGTACCAAGGCTAGGCAGTAAACTCCTACTTGATGAATACTGTCTATAGCCTAAAAAAATACATATAAAATGAAGGAAATTACTATAAGGGTGGGAAAAGGATTGAGCTGATCTGCTCACAAGCATGCAGATATCTGATGAGCCCTATTCTACAGAAAGGTACTTTGAACTCTCTACTAGATATGGACTATGTTTGCACAATTATGTATCTATAATTTACTTAGCCATAGTTTGTGATTGCTTCAACTTCATGCAACAGAAAAACTAATCCCCCAGGTTGTGTTCACATGCCCAATGTTGCTACAAGTTAGAAGGCTAAGTTGTAGTTAAGTATAGTATGTGAACTGTAATATCACCTAATTGAAATGTAAAGGTAGAAATAGAAAGTTAAATCAGTAAAAGTGACTTTAAATCATCAAGAAGTTATATAATTCTTGACTAACTTCAGCCTAGGTTTATTTTCACAAAAAGAAAATGCATTAAAACTAAAAACCAAACAAGAGCCAGTTTGGCTTAGCAATTAGGACACCAGGGTAGAAAGCAAGACATCATCAATTCAACTCCCACCTTAGTCATGAAAGCTGGCTGGATGACTTTGGGCCAATCATTCTCTCTCAGCCCAACCTACCTCACAGGGTTGTTGTTGTGGAGAAAATAGGAGAAGGAAGGTGTGTTGGATATGTTTGCTGCCTTGAGTTATTTGTAAAAATGATAGACAGGATACAAATTTAAAACCCCATATTTTCCTTGTTTGCTATGTAGATTTGCTGTACATTACAAATCAAGACTAATTTTATCTTTGGCTATAAGGATTCAAGAGAAGAAAGCATTAGAAATTGTTCTTAAAATCTTAGATTTTGAGTGTCTAAGGAAGCAAAAGAAAGAACAACATTATGTTCCTTTCTTACCCAGATCAATTTGATTTTAATATATGCTAAATTCACACTGGTGAAACTGTATCCTGGTTAAGGTTATTACCAATCAGAGGTCTCAAAAATATTGGTCCTCACTGGTACCCTAGAAAAATAGGCTACATAAAACAGGAGTGGACAATTTGCAGCCTTCACAAGGCTTTTCACAATGAAAAATTCGCTGTATAAAAGGCTAGTTTTTGTATCACTACCAAAAGCTGTTCATTTCTCCTCTTTCTCTTCTCTCTTGCTGGACCAGAAAGAAGAAATATTGAAGGAAAGAATGGAAGCTGTCATCCACTGTGGTTCTTTATGCTTTGGCTTTACCCACCAGGTTTCTCTCAACACAGCACAACTGAGGAAACGCGACCATTGAGAGAAAAAGAGATTCTTTTTTCCCCTCTCTAAAACATTGCAGAACAAGAGGAGGGGGCAGAGATTGCTTCACCCTAACAGTTATTTAAAGCAATATAAACTGGACAGTGAAAAAGTCAGGCACTTCACCCCAAAGCTGATGAAGGACACCAGGTTCTAACACTTGAGGGCCATTAAGAAGGGAATGCAAAATGCTGAACTGTATTCCCCTAGTCCCATCTACTCAAATTGCTAATGGGAAGAAAGGGACTGGGGTTTATGAACAAAAGGGAATAAAACATGCACAAAAATAAATATTATAAAAGGTTTTCCCTGTCCATTCATGTATGACTCTAGGGGGTAATCCTCATTTTCATTTCCTAGCTGAATGAGCCAGTAGACATGTGGCCAGCATAGCTATATACCAGTGATGGCGAACCTTTTAGAGACTGAGTGCCCAAACTGCAACCCAAAACCCACTTATGCATCGTCGAGTGCCGGGTGGGTGTGGCCCATTGGGTAGGCATGGCCTGTGGCTGCTGTGGTAACAGCAGACTGGGTGGGACTAAAAAGTTCAATCAATCAATTCCAACTTTGCAAGATCTTTTTTTTCCCCGCAAGAAGTTGAAATTGACTGATTGAACCTTTTTTTTTTTTTGCACACGGCGGCGGAGGCTTAAAGTGAAAAGGTTTTAGAAAACCCAGCTGAAGGCCTAGGACTGGGGCGACAGCATGCGTGCCCACAGAGAGGGCTCTGAGTGCCGCCTCTGGCACCCGTGCCATAGGTTCGCCATCACTGCTATATACCAAAGACACACAGAACACTATTATTTTCCCACCAAAGTGGTACCTATTAATCTATTTGCATTTGCATACCTTCAAACTGCTATGTTGGCAGGAGGTGGGGCAAGTAATGGGAGCTCATCCCATCTGGCAGTGCTCAAACCAAGCCTGTCAGTTTTTTCCAGCTGACAAGCTCATTATCTTTAACTGCTGAGCCATCGCACCCCCAAAAGGGAATTGTTCTTATCTCTTTCCTGCTTAACAAAATTTGCTTTTTCTCCTCTCCCGATGTTCTTGCTTGAACTGCCTTTCAGAACATCTATGGTTAATTCTTTTACATCCCTACTTGCATCCTTCTTTGAGCAGCCTTAGTAGAATCCTGTATTATTATTACATGCCAATGTGGCATATAACCAAAATATTGTAAACTACCTCATTCTTTCCTGGTTTTCCCATCTTTAGGTTTCTCCCTTCCTCAAGAGTTCCCCTGATGATATTAATTTGCAAGATCCTCACACTGATACCTTTACAGCAGTGGTTCTCAACCTTTTTAATGCCGCAACCCCAACCGGTCGTAAGTCGAGGACTAAACTGGTCGTAAGTTGAGGACTAAACCGGTCGTAAGTCGAGGACTACCCAACCGGTTGTAAGTCGAGGACTTTCCCTGCCCAGGAGCGCTGCGCATGCGTGGTTCCGCCCCCTGCGCCGGCCAAGGCGTAGCTGGCAAGCGGCAGAGACAGAGCAGGCCGACCACCAGCTGGCCCAGCTCAAGGGAGGTAAGGCACCCGCCGGAAAAGGGGAAAAAATGGCGGACAAAAAATGGTGGACAAAAAAAATGGCGGACAGCCTTGCTTGGCGACCCCCGTGAAATGGTCGATCGACCCCAAATGGGGTCCCGACCCACAGGTTGAAAACCACTGCTTTACAGACAGTGCAATCTACAAAGGAATTTGGAGTGCTGAGTTGTTCTACTGTACTGTATTTATAAGACCTTGCTTGAATGGTCTAAATTTTTTTTTTGTTCCTTGTGTTTCCTCTGGCATTTAAATGGATGTAAAAGAAAATATTCCCCCAAAGAGGAAGAGATAATATTATGGGCTACGGTAGCTCATGTACAACTATAGATGCCTTGCCTTTGTTTTGCAGAACAATGAGCATCCAGCAACTTCTGCTTCTTCATAAATGGATATCATCCTTTCAGTCATAAGCACAGCTCAAGAGAGCCCAACACACTAACTATAAAGCTGCAGACTGGAAGGAATGCAATACTCATAAGGCAATGCCATTACAGAATCAATAAACAGCTAATACGTAAGCACTCGAGGATGAGTTGTCTGTTATATAGTTCCTTCCCTTTATTATAAGATCTGTTTTTCCCACTCTGTTCTTCTTAAGAGGGTCTGCATACCAACATTGCTATAGCTATTATCAAAGACATAGCAATCATCTGTTATGAAAGCATAGGAAAGGGAAAAAAGTGGATTTTCATGGTTTAATCCAAAATTAGAAGAAAGATTCCAGAAGAATTTAACCAAGATCATCTGCACAGGAATAAGAATTACTCTTTCACCTAGATACGTTTTGCTTCTGTTGGAAAATGCAATGATTGCTTCTGCTTTTACGTAACGGGAAGCTACCTTGGCACATCATGTCTTTCCATTTGATCCTGCTGATTATAGGTTTAGCAACTGTACCTGCAGGACTCTGCTCATCCACTGAAAGCTGTCTTCTTCTGTAGAATCCGGCCTCTGCTCAGCCACAATTACTATTCGTTCATCATGAAGGACACTCACTGAAAACACTGCTATCCTGTGGGATGTGCAAACCAAGACATTTGTAATTGAATAAAAAAGACTAAGAGCAGAGCAACTCCCTTTCATGATTTTGTATGACTCAGTTCTCATTAGTTATGCAACAGAGAAGATTAGAGCCCAAGTTCTTTATTTCCTCTAGAAGACAGCTGCACTGAACACCTACAGAAGTTTAAAATAGAGCACTAACTAGAATAGCTATTATAAAAGCAAGCTCATGTTGGCTCTCCATAGAGTAATGCACCATCATTGCAAACAATATTTTACTTTATGTATGTTCAGAATAATATTTACTAACAGAGGCAAAGAAAACAAGCATAACAAAGTCATTCCTGCCCATGTTTTTATTTAGAGAAATGGAAATATGCGAAGTTGTTTCCATTTGTAGCATTCCTGCTAAGAGTTTCCTAAAGAGGTTTGCCGGATATCCATTTTGATGCCAGATTAAAGTCTCTTTCCCAGATGTTTATATTTGTTCTATTTCCAATTGCTTTTCATCTGTTTTTTTCTCTAAATAGTTTACTATGGGTTGTTTCATTTACATTGCTTTAATTTGTCTTTAAGCAGCCCTGAATGTTATTTTAAACAACTTATAGGGCTATCCATGTTGCAACTTTAGCCACAATGGGAAGCAAACAATGTTAAAACTACAAACAATAAGCAGAAAATGCAATAATAGCTGCTAAAGGCAACAGTCACAAAAACAATGCACTCATCTTATGGGTCTTAGGTATTAACTGTAACCTACTGCTAGGATGCCATTTTGTGAGAGGACAGGCTGCCTAGCAAATGACCCACACCTGTGTGCTGCCCTGCCCCTTTAAGCCTTCTTCCAGCCAGCACAGCCGCAGTCGCTATAAAAGCTGTGCTGAGAGAGAGCTTTGCTCATTGTTGTTTGCGTGTGGGAGAGGGTGGATGGAATTTCATGTGGGGAAGTAACGCAGCCTAAAGTAGCCTAAAGAAGCTAGAAAGAAGCCTAAAGAAGCTAGAAAGAGATAACATTTTAAGGTAGTAAAACTTACAAGTAATAGTTGAAGGAAAGTAGTACAAAAATGTAATAGTAGTGGGAAAGAATGCGAGAAGTGGTGGGCAGTGAATACTTACGTGTGTATTACCTAGGGACTTATGCTACTGTGACAAAGTGGTGGCAACGGTGGGGTATTCAACAAGGGGGAAACCATACAAGTGGAGGCAGCTTCAACTTCAGGAGTTCATTAAACATTTTATGGAAAGAAAACAAGCTTTGGCTGGAAGGGAGTTGCAAAAGGGGAGAAATTGAGCTCTATCAGAGCTCAGACGCAGCAGGAGTTAGCCAGCTTCTGCCTGCAGAAACCAGACTTCTTATCAGTGCCTACAACAAACAAACAAACATGGAAAAGGGAAAGACCCCCCTTTACAAGAGATTACTACTTTGGTAGAGAGGTCAGTGAAAATTAAAACAAAAAGCAGACCAGCCAGAAACAGGTCTACTTGAGCTAATATAATCTCAGAGATGTTAAAGCAAGAGCAAGAGGAAAGGCTTTAATTTAAAGAGGAACGGTTTTGGAGGAAACCAGAAAGGAAATAAGCAGAAAATGCAATAATAGCTGCTAAAGGCAACAGTCACAAAAACAATGCACTCATCTTATGGGTCTTAGGTATTAACTGTAACCTACTGCTAGGATGCCATTTTGTGAGAGGACAGGCTGCCTAGCAAATGACCCACACCTGTGTGCTGCCCTGCCCCTTTAAGCCTTCTTCCAGCCAGCACAGCCGCAGTCGCTATAAAAGCAGTGCTGAGAGAGAGCTTTGCTCATTGTTGTTTGCGTGTGGGAGAGGGTGGATGGAATTTCATGTGGGGAAGTAACGCAGCCTAAAGTAGCCTAAAGAAGCTAGAAAGAAGCCTAAAGAAGCTAGAAAGAGATAACATTTTAAGGTAGTAAAACTTACAAGTAATAGTTGAAGGAAAGTAGTACAAAAATGTAATAGTAGTGGGAAAGAATGAGAGAAGTGGTGGGCAGTGAATACTAGCCTGTGAATGCTTACGTGTGTATTACCTAGGGACGTATGCTACTGTGACAAAGTGGTGGCAACGGTGGGGTATTCAACAAGGGGGAAACCATAGAAGTGGAGGCAGCTTCAACTTCAGGAGTTCATTAAACATTTTATGGAAAGAAAACAAGCTTTGGCTGGAAGGGAGTTGCAAAAGGGGAGAAATTGAGCTCTATCGGAGCTCAGACGCAGCAGGAGTTAGCCAGCTTCTGCCTGCAGAAACCAGACTTCTTATCAGTGCCTACAACAAACAAACATGGAAAAGGGAAAGACCCCCCTTTACAAGAGATTACTACTTTGGTAGAGAGGTCAGTGAAAATTAAAACAAAAAGCAGACCAGCCAGAAACAGGTCTACTTGAGCTAATATAATCTCAGAGATGTTAAAGCAACAGCAAGAGGAAAGGCTTTAATTTAAAGAGGAACGGTTTTGGAGGAAACCAGAAAGGAAAGATAGGCTGGAATGGGAAAAGAGTGAAAGGCAAGAGAAAAAAAAGCTTTAGGGGGATGATAGAACTGCCATCCAGATTTAATAGAGACCACTAACCACTGTATCATCACGGCTCCTTTATGAAAGGCTAACAAAAGCCAGAGGAGAACCTATTGGGATAGATGCTCCCAAGTGGGAAATTCACTTACAATTCAAAAGAAAGGCTAGAGATAAAGAGGAAAAAGCAAATCAGCTGTGTTGCTGCTGGCCTGCCATTTTAACCTATTACACTTTAAAGAACCCATTGCTTCTGGGTTCAAATGAGTAGCTGGTCTCAACCATTGGCTTGCTAACCTCCATCCTAACCATGTAAGCCACTGTGCTCCTTTAAAGAAGCCATGAAAAACATATTTCAAACAATGTAATCCAAAATGCATGCAATTTATTTTTGCTATGATAAATAATAAACTTAAAAATCAATTAGTACAAGGGCTTATTATACTTTGGATTTTTTTTTCTGAACATGACATTAAATAAAGGGCTTTTAGTAGAAATTAATGCATGTTGGCTAACCTATTTGGCTAACCTTATCTAAGGTTTCTCTGAGCAAGGGAAGCATTCTTTCAATATCCTGCTTAAAACAAAAGAATCCTGATAGGAAGAAGTAGAAGCCTACCTTCCCCTGTAGACAAACTTCATGGGTTCCACTGCCAATGCTGTAGCTACAATGTCATCTGCATTGTGTCTCCTCCCGCTGACAACCATCAGACCATCCATTTTACCAACCACAAAAACAAGTCCTCCAGGGCCAATGAACCCAAGAAGCCCAGTTCTTATAAAGGGATATTCACTTATGGGGGCACCTAAAGTAGTCATAGGGAACACCTATGAGAAAGACAGGAGAAGCGAGGGTGGGAAGGTTCAGGTGATTTAGATCCTTCTAGAAACAGATATTAAAATTACTACACATGAAACATAAGCCTCTTCTATTTCTCTGTGGGAACACTAGTACTATTTTTGTACACCCATTGTATTGCACTAAGCAATGGGTTGCTTCAGCCTGTGTTATTGATGTTATAACTTAATAGATACAACACAACACGCCCTGAACAACAATTTATAAATAACAATGCATTGGTTTATACTGCACACTAAAGCATAATCAAACCATAAAAATGCTTAATGAGATTTGAAAACCCAGCCATTCACTACTATGTCCCTAAAATTATATAATTTAAATACTGCAGTGCTGTGCTTCTATCAGTATTTATTTATTGGTAGAAAATAACATTTGCGTGAAACCCCAAATTTCAGCCCGGTACTTCGAATGGTACTGCCATGCCTAATCCAGAAAGAGGGGGATAAAATGTGAGTAGAGACGGCAATAGCCAAAATGAAAATGGTCAATAAAATTTTTAAAAGCAATGGAAAAATATAGAATGCAAGAATTGGGAAAGGGGCTAAGAAAATATAGACCCTGACTCAAATTTATTTGCTGTGTCTGCATTGTAGAATTTGAATTCATACATGCAAAGTTGGTTTATAATTTCCTTTGCTGCTTACTCTTTTTCAATTTCATTTATAATATGTGGGTGAATATACAAATACACACTATTTACACACACATACACAAGTAAGTAAAACATTATTTTGAGAAAACCTTCAACTGGAAATCTACTACCAGTCAGAATCAAAGAGAATTCTCCTAGTGTATTCTAGAGCCTTCTAGAGCTGCAGAATGCCAAACCCCACATATCAAGTCACTGAGGAATTCTAGAGCAGAAGTCTAGATTGGGAATGACTGGATCCAACTTAATAGAAATGCACCTTCACAAATGGATCGTTGCTATGAATGTGAATCCAAACGTCTTTTTTTTAAAATGAAGTTAACATTTTATGTCCACCTCCAGCTCACCTCAAATGTATTTTTGGTCATTCCAGAGAGTCCATAGTAAGATGTACCTGTTGCAATAGCACATACACAGAGTTCACCAACTTCATCTGTTCGGCAGAGTTGAGGAACTCCATCTGGCTTTACGGCACACATTATGGCTATTGGGGGAAAAAAGAATAGCATTTGTCCTATTGTTGCATAATAGACATAGACAATGCGACCAATTCAAAGGGTGGTTATTGTGGACAAAATAGGAGGGGCAAGCAGTAGGTATGTATGCTGCCTTGACTGCCAAAAGAAAGGCAGGATAAATCTAACATAATGTTGAATTCAACATATGACGGTGTATGTTAGTTTAACAGTATCATGGTTTGTTTTGTTTTTAAACCATCAATCATTCAATTGATCTAGATTCATAGGCACAAAGCACTAGAAACCTGGATAATTGATTGGGTGTTTGTATCTCTTCAGTGACTGGGAGGAAAACTTTTATTTCATAAAAAAAATGGGCTTCTTGATTTCCCCCCCCCCTTTTTTTTCTAAACCTTTTCTCTCTCTGTGGGAAATGCTTGGAAAACTTTTCCCTCAGGCCAGTCTGAGGGAAGGAAAAGAAACACTTCACTTTCTCCCAGTTTCTCAGCTGCTGCCTCTGTTCTCCTATTTGTTGACTTGACTTTGCATGCTTTGAAACTGCTGGGTTGGGTCCTGGTACTTGGGTCTTGAACTGCCAACCATTTAGTTGACAAGCCCAGCATCTTAACCGCTAGGCCACTCCGTCCTATTAAAAACACTAAAAACATCCAAATTAAATATACATAGGAGCAAGGTATTTAGCAATATAGCCGGGAAATGACATATTCAGCCCTCTAGGCTCAGGAACATAGCCAGGTTTTTAGGGTCTTATGAAAGGCTAACAGGGTTGAGCCATTCTAATCTCCAAAGGAAGGATGTTTCATACAGCAGGAACAGCTGTAGAAAAAGCTTTTATTCTGGTCCCTACCAGCTGACATTCTTTGACTGATGGAAATTGCATCATATGCATTATTTTTGAAACAGTTGGATGGAGAGAATCTCTTAGGGTTGCCAGGTGTCCACTATTTGAGTGGACAGTCCACTTTTTCACATTATGTTCACTATTATTTTCATAAAAGAGTGGACATTTTTTTTATTCAAAAGCTTTATGATGAAATGGTACATAATCTAAAGCTGTACAGTTTACTTTTTTTACTACTTAACACCCCCCCCCCCCCGCTTGTCCGCTATTTTTTGGAAGCAGACCTGGCAACCCTAGAATCTCTTTTAAAAAGCCACGTTGGGCTTTATAGTACCTTGAATTGCCCCTGGAAACACCGATAACCAGTGCAGCTCAAGCAAGAGTGGTGTTATGTGTGCCATTATGTCTGGCACCATTTCTATCTATGCTACTGCATTCTGCTACAGCTTGAAGTTTCCTAATAGCCTACAAGGCAGCATATTATAGCAGCTTAACATGGAGATTACAAGGGCATGAGTTACTGTGACCAGGGCCTCCTAGTCCAGGTATGGGTACAACTGGCAGATCACCCGGAGGTGTGCAAAGGCTGCCCTAGTCATGGCTGCCACCAGCTCTTTAAGCAGAAGCTGCAAGTCCAGGAAGACCCCCAGGCTATGCACCGAGTCTGTTTGGGGCAGTGCAATGGCATTCAGAACCAGAGATGGAAGAACCTTGTTTTCAGGATTCTTAACAGTCATTATGTCTTGCTAGGATTGAGTCAGAGACCATTTCTCCCCATCCAGTCCCCAACAGCCCTCAGATACTTAGTTAGGACATCCATGGCACTCAGAAGAGATCTGAGATAGAGAATCATCAGTAAGCAGATGACTTTATATATCACCCCAAACTCGATGGATCACCTCACCTAGTAGCCTCATGTAAATGTTAAAAGGGAGAGAGAGAGAAAACAGAGCTCTGAGGGCACTCCACATAGTATGGGTCGCGGGTTAGATCTCTCTCTCTCTTGAGACTGGTTGGAATTGGTCTTGGAGTAAGGAAGAGAACCAGCATAATACAAGTGCTGCCCACCCCCAGTGTCTGAAGCGGACCCAGAAGGATACCATGATCGATGGTATTAATGCCACTGAGAGGTCAAGAAGAACCAGGATTGATGCATTACCTCCATCCCGCCAGAGATGTTGCAGAAATACGTTGCAGAGAAGATACAGAAGATAAAAAAGTTAATTACCCCAGGAAAATTAATATTAAGGAATTAAATGAAATGATGAATGCAGCTCATGTCTGACAGCTAAACCTGTAAGAATAAGTAATTCTGGGGAAGAATAAACACATTCTTTAACCTTTCTTAAGAAGAGATGGCATAATCAAGAAAGAAGTCTTACAGAATCATCCTTATTTCCAAACTCCTGGTTATTCTTCCACCCTGTTAAATATACCTTGTAACACTTCTCTTTCCAATCTTGGGCATAAAAAAGAAAGTGACCATATATGACTCCTGATGGATTGCTAACTACAGTTAACCCCAAACAACACAAGTTTAGACATGGGAAAGCCGCCAACATGACAGAGCTGGAAGGGAAACAGAGCAGAATGCTTTTGTAACTGGCTTTTTTCCAATGGGAATGAGGCATAGAATCTCAATCCTACAAAATTATGTAATGAATCTATATGTGATTTATGAAAAAGTTATTTGCTTACCTAGGGTAAGGCTCTAAAATGCACCTAGGAGGTCATTACATTTATATACATGTTTAATGGAGGAAGAGTAATTTTAACTGACAAGGGTGGGATAAGCTAATTTGTGAAATGAATACTAGCTTTGAGGAAATAATGTCTCTACGAATACAACTTTCTTTAAGGCAGTGCAATCTTGGCAAATTTAAGTTGTTTGGATTTTAACTCCCTGAATTTCCCCATCTAGCATGCATTAAGAGAAAAAACAACGCAGATGTTATAAGTTTTTCTGAGTAAGCTATAGAAGCCTTACCTCCAGGCATTACCAAACCAACATCTTGCACTGTTAGAACAGAAAGTTTTTCTTCAGAATCCACTCTGATTACTCCATAAGTAAGCCCGTGCATGGATAATACTCCCCTTCCAGGTGGCTGGTTGCTGTCATCTGTTGGCCTGGAAATGTATGGAAAATATCAGTGATACCAGAATAGGAAGCAACTCTCATTTCACATATACTGTGCTTGAGAATAATGCTAAGCTTGAATGGCATCTATAGAAATCATTGTCTTCGTTCACTTCATCACCTTGTAGGAAGGGCATACTCTGGCTCCTTTCCATTAAATTGTTGGATCCCAGAATTGTGCCTTTTGTATAGCACATGTCCTGTTTGAACAGAATATTATGACACATTCAGATAGCCCCAATACTGTTAGTCTTCTGTTGTAAGATTTGGCATTCCCCCATGCCCTTGACCTCTCTGAGCTCTGATGGTTGATTAATTTTGTTTTTATGAGTTGGTTGTATTTGTGGCTTCGGGCATCATGGTGGTTGTTGACTTGTTATTAACCTCTATATACTGTCCAAAGTTATTTTTGGTATGGGCCATATACATTGCTTAAATAAGTAATAAAGCTGATGTGTCTGATGCCTCTAAACAGGAATAGCCCTTCTCAAATATTTTATAATGCATTTTTGTCATATCCTACCATGACCCATAAGCTGGAGAGAAGCTAGGCCTATGCAATCCAGCTTTTTAGATTTTACATATTGGTGCACTCTATTTGAAAAAAAGCTAGCGGGTGTAATGCAGTAGTAAGAAGTTGAACAATAAAAGTGGGTGCTTAGATACATACAATCCCCTTTTGAAAAGCCTTGATAGAGGCCTCTAAAGTTGCTATTAGATTGCAATTTGAGAAGTGCTCCTAATTAAAAGTTGAATAAGAGAATATTGTAGGGAATAGACATTGTTTAGTTAAGTATTAAATATGCTCTTGTTCACTATTGTTGTACTACCCTTAACATACCACTTAAGTCCTATATTGCTGGCTTTTGAAGGGAGGTAGAAACCTTTCCACAACCAGCCCAGGTGTTGGCTGTGCAAACAGGCTTTGAGCCAGGGGTTTTAATCTGTTTTTTGAATCACTCGTTTCTGATCATAAGATATGAACACAGCCCAGTCCTGAAATGATTTCTTCTATTTACTTGTGCAAAACTCAAGTTCAAAAACATACAGGAAGGAAATTTTGGTTTTAATATAATGATTCCTCCACAGAAACACTGATGTTATATGTAGCTATGTCTTTGGAAAATTGTCATAAGAAAAAGTGTAGCTGTATGGTTAATCTTAATTTAGAATGGTGGTTTCTCAGTGATACTTGAAAAACTTGATAAACTGAAAAACTTAGAGAATGATAGGCTCCATAAATTTTGATTAAAAGGTTCTAAAAAGCCTTTCGCTGCTCCCCCAATATGATCCCAGTAAAAGGATCAGGTATGCTAGCTATGGATTGAATTGAATATACATTAGGGAGTAACAAATGAGAGGCAGGTAACTGGGTGACAATGATTAATGGCATTCCTATTACTCATCACAGTATTGATCAACCTTTAACCCTTCACACTATTTTGTAAGATGATCTTGGAATGAGAACATCCCACCATGTGAGGGATGGAAGAGATTTACTGTACTCCAGTAACCTCTATGCCTAACAGTGATATAAGCAATGTACTAGGCATAAATGTAACCTTATCAAAGGAAGTAAATTTATGTTTAGCTTTCCCATGGGATACAGATGTTGGACTCATTGCAGTAATATATTTTCAGTAGGAGTTGCCAAAGTTATTGTTATAAAAATATACTGAATGATGGAAAAGTCCAAGAACAGTGTTTCTCAAACTGGTTGTGGAATTCTGGAGGTTGAAGCCCACTCTTATTCAAGTTGAGAAACTCTGCTCTAGATTGCCATTGAATATAGTTCCTAAATACTTCAAAAAGACAAACGGAATATTATAAGATAGTTAAGTAACAAAGTTTAAAACTAATATAAAAAGAGTCTGGATTCATAATTCAGTGGGCTATGCTTACAAACACCTTCAAGTTCAATTTCAGTCAGGGAGAAAGATTCTGACCAAGGACTTCAATTTATGCAGTTATCTTTATTGCAGTAATTAGTGCAACATCTGGAAAAGGTTTCATATCATATCCTTAGTAGTTGGCCATTGCATACTGAAGTTATCTTGAATTGAATGACATGTATCAACAGCAAATAATCTAGAAATGGAGAATGTAATCTTGAATGTTATCTGTTCTTTCTCCAAGGACTTGCATTTTTTTCTTATCTGTTTTTGCTTACAACACCTTTATGAGGTAGTTAAACTTAGAGATACTTTAACTTGCCTATATTCATACAACGGAGTTTTCCCTGTCCAGTTGTTTCTGACTCTAGAGGGTGGTGGTCATTTCGTTCCTAGCTGAGAGAGCCGAAGACTCTTCCGTGGTCATGTGGCTGGCATAACTCTATGCCAAGGTGCATAGAACGCTATTATCTTTCCAAGTGGTACCTATTTGTACCTACAATTCTACTTCGGCTTTCCCATTCTCGAACAATCACATTGTAAATTCTGAAGCAAGAAAGGTAACTCGGCCTATATGGTACTTGGGTCTCAAACTCTGCCAACCTTTTGGTTGACAAAGTCCAGTCTCTAGAAAAATGTTTTATGCAGGTGTAAAATGCCCATCTGCCATATAAAGTACATAAACACTCCAAAAGTCCTTGAACCCCCAAACAACAGATATGTGAAATCTTTTCACTTTACAGGCAGTCCTGCTTAATGACCATTGGTTCTAGGGCCAGTCAAAGTTACAATAGTCTGACGACTATTGTTTCCACTGACGAATAGGATTACAAATAAAGGGAGGGTATTTATAAAAGAAAATGCAGGGAAAAATGCAAAGTTTCTGATCTCAAGATTAATGACCAATCTATTTATTAAACATACATAATATTCCTTCCTCCTCCTATAATTATTCTCAGATTGTTCATTGCCTTTAGGATTTCACATTTATATTTGACTCTACAATACCTTCTAATAGCCACTGTGAGAGCCTCTGGTGAACTAGCACAAGGACAGATGACTTCTTGTCTTAGGCCTTTACTTTGGAACACATTAAGAAATGCATCGCATGAAGAAATAGACCCTGAAGTTAAAAAGTACACAAACAATAATATCATTCTATGTGCAATAATCAATAGTTCCTCACAACAAATTCTAAATGGGAGGTTTCCAAAATAGAAATCTAGATGCCAACCAACCAATAAATTCACTGAGTGATTGTAAATAATTGACCTGTGGGTTGAAATTTATAGATGTGCCTAAAGAGAGTCTCTAATATACCAACTCTCATTTAAACCTTTTTTGTTAACTGAGTCTGTAATGTATAATCAAGTTCTTTATATACAATGGAATGAAACTACATGCTGAACCAAATATTACTCTGGAAATTACATTTCTATTGCAGATATTACTTGTACTGGGTACATGAAGATCATTCCATTTCATACAGAGCTTCAAAAATGGCTTCAAAAAAAGAAGTATTGGTATCCCGTCTGCTTCTAATAATTGAATTTCAATTTTTATTTTGTATCATTTTGTAAGGTCAAACATGTCACAGTACAAAACATACATATGATGTGCAACGACTTTCAAAAACTTTTGAAATCCTGGTTACCATATCTTTCCTATACAATATACTGACTTTTTAGTTTTGCAGCCATAGATAAATCCCTAAAACCCACAATATTTTATATGAAGTCATCAACATTGTCAATTATCAGAGTATCTGCCCAGAATTTTCTGTTGAAAATTCTAAGGAGAGCAACAGGGATAAGGGTCTTCTTAGTGTTGAAATTAAGATGTTGAACTATCTCCCTTGTTCCTTTATTACTTTTTGGCACCAAGTAAAAATATATTTTTTTCAGAGACCACTGAAGGTTTAATCAATTTCAACTTAATTTTCTAACTTGCTTTAGGATCATGGTTTCAATCTACTTTAAAAAGTTATTTTAATATTTATACAAGCTCTCTTGAGTCTGGGATATTTAAAATTGTAAAAATATATGATCAAAATAAAAAAACAACTCAGGAAGAGAAACAGATTGCTACGTTGGACATGCATTCTTCACAATTGATAGAAGAACCAACAAATATAGTTTGTGTTTTGTATACCCGTACTTGACCAAGGAAAGAACACCACTCCATCAATGCCTAATTTCAATTGATTTCATGAGAAAACCTCAAGTCTTTTCTATTTTCAAGGAGAAATCTGACTCAAGTTTAACATAACAGCTTGCCGAATTATACAGAACTAGGATACTTTAGTTTATATTGGAATTGCTTTAGGATATTACTAAAAAAATGAAACTTTGAAATGGACTTTGAAATATAATTTTTTGGTGGACTCTGAAATAGAAAACATATTTTTACACTCCCATTTAAAAGAGAAAGAATGGACAAGATATTTTAGGAACTGATACATTAAGATTACAGACATACATCTTTGTTTAGTGGCTTCATTGACTGATGTTGATGTAGAATGTCCAATAGCAAAGCCATTTGGATTGTATTCTTTGTTCTATATTTAGCACTTACATGGATTAGCGCCATCAGCCACTATCAACATTCTAAGTGAAGAGAGGTTGATATCACGTTGATCTCTGTGTGCTACTAATGCCCAGTGCATATCTCTGGATTTTACACAAGCTACTTTTGCTGAGAGATGTAGAGGAAAGAGAAAAAAATGAGAAATGAATTGAGACATAATTCCATTAAACTATGAATAAACAATCAGAAAGATATTTAAGATATAATTCTACTACTGTACTAAATGTCCCAAATATAGGAAGTATGACCAACTGGCAGACTTCAATTTTGAGTTTCAGTTTTTACGAGCCAATCTTTCACAGATTGGGTGTGAAAAAGGAGCAGGAGGGATGACTTCTATTTTGCCAGTTTAATACAATAAAGCCTACCTCCTGCTCCCTCAAAGTAGATTGATGTAGCCATCACCCTTACCTTTGTACTGGCACACCTTCTGTATCCATGAAAGCGGGTTCACTTTCATTAAGGAATAAGGGATGCTTATCACATGCATCATGTTCATAACACTCTGAAATTAAAGCAAGGAAATAGAGGTATCAGCATCAGTGAGGAAACAATTATCAATTGGTATCCTGGCTAGTTGGTACAGCCATGTTTTCAAGGCCTTTTGGAAGACTAAAAAGCGGAGGGAGCAGATCTAACTTCAGGGGCAAGATGATTCAGAAGGCAGGAGTCATAGCAGAAAAGGCACTTCTGGACCCCACAGACTGAAATTCCTTGGCTGAAGCAGCTATTGCATGGCTCTGCTTCTGGCCCAGGTAAAACTGGCTAATCCCATCGGGGTAAGCCAATTTCTCAGACAGCTTGGCCCTATACCATGGGCTTTAAAGGTGATAATGCCAGTTATCACCCTGAATTAGACCCCAGAAGCAAATAGGGAGTCAGTGCAATTTGCGGACAGCTTCCAGGCACTATGAAAGGGCAACAATATCACTTGGATCTCCAGGAGTGTTTGATGTAAAGGGAAGATGGGAGGCAATGGGATTGAAAGAAGATTTTTTTAAGGGGCGACAAACCAAGGCTTCCTTAAAACATCCTGGAAATGCCTCCTCCTGCAGTGAGGAATTTATCACTAGCCTTGGAGAAAGGAATCAAACCAGCACAATTCTATGTTTCCCAGCCCCAACTACCACAGACAACCAAAAAGGATACCTTGGTTAATAGTATTGAAAGCCACTGAGAAGTCAAGGAGAACAAGGATGGATGCACACCATCATCCTGCCCTTGCCATAGATCATCCACAAGTGCAATGGAGCTGAAACCTGACTGAAAAGAATTTATTTCATCCAGAACCATCTGAAATTCCCAAACATTCCACCTTCTACACCAGTTTCCCTAAAAATGGAAGATGGGAGGCAATGGGATTGAAAGAAGATTTTTTTAAGGGGCGACAAACCAAGGCTTCCTTAAAACATCCTGGAAATGCCTCCTCCTGCAGTGAGGAATTTATCACTGGCCTTGGAGAAAGG